AATAAATTTTAAACATGGTATGTTGACATATACCCCTAACTGAATACAGTCTAAGGAGAAAAAGAACTACAAAGAAATCTTAAATTTTACTTATAAGTTTGGTAGGGTAGTACTACATATATAAGTAATTCATAAATATTCTTCTGTAAGATTGGGCAAATGAGTATACTGATGCTGCTAGGAACTAGGAACTGTGAGAAAAGGGAGGTACAAATACATAATGGGAGAAGGAAAGCAAGAGGCTTACAGTGTTGGACTGGAATAGACAATATCAATATAAAGTCATGATTTAAAAAAAAAAATCCTAGATCTGTCCACTAAGAGAGTCTAGAAGCAAAAACACGCACTCCAGCAGTAATGAGTACACGTAGTACTCAAATCTTAGTTTCTTTTTTTGTTTTTGAGGAAGATTGGCCCTGAGCTAACACCTGTTGCCAATGTTCCTCTTTTTCTTTTCTCTCCCCAAAACCCCTGTACATAGTTGTACATCCCAGTTGTAGGTCCTTCTTCTTTTATGTGGGACACCGTCTCAGTATGGCTTGATGAGCAGTGAGTAGGTCTGTGCCCAGGATCCGAACCGGTGAACCCCGGGCCCCCGAAGCGGAACACACAAACTTAACCACTACACCGCCTGGCCAGCCCCTAATCTTAGTTTCTTAACACCTTCACCAACAAGGAAGAACTAAGACTCCTTGACTGACTGAATTGAGTTCTGGGGCAAAGAAAGTACAATGTCAGCCTGAACATCTAGTTCTGTTGGACAGTAAGAAAGTGCTCAAAAACTGACAGAGAAACATCAAAAGGACATTGTTTGGGGAAAAAAATCCATTGGCTAAATCTGGGACAATTTTAGCATCAAAAATAATCATAATCATCATCATCATCACCATCATCAAAGGATTGCAATCATTCAGATTTTGTTCTGTAACCATAATGGGATAAAGCTAAATCCAACAACAAAAATATAACTAGAAAAACTCCAATTGCATGGAAATTAGGCAATATACTCAATAACTCATGGAACAAAGAACTCAAAACAGACTAATCTCTTAAACACACATGTAAAATTTCCTAACAAAATATTAGCAAATAAAATTCATAGAATAAATCCAACTAAATGGAGTTTATTCTAGTATGCAGTAATGTTTCAACAGTTGAAAAATCACTGTTAACAAAAATGAGAAAAAGTATATGACCATCTTAATAGATACAGAAAAGGCATTTCACAAAATTTAACACTAATTCGTGATTTTTAAAAATCTCTTAGCAAACTAGGAGTAGAAAGAAGTTATCCAAATCTGATAAAAAACATCTACAAATAACATACAACAAACACGATGCTCAATGGTGAAATATTGAAAAATTTTCTCTAGAGACAGGGAACAAGACAAGGATGCCTTTATCAGTTACTTCCTGTCAAAAGATGGACCATACCAAGTGTCGGTGAAGATGTGGAACAGCTGAAACTCTCATACATTTCTGGTAGAAAAGCAAATATCTTTGCAAAACTGTTTCACAGTATCTAGTAAACCTAAATAGATATATCCTCCACGACCCAACAGTTTCATTCCTAGTTATACACCAAACAGAAAGGTGTATATATGTTCATCAAAGGTGCATATAAAAATGTTTATAACAGCACTGTCCATAACAGCCAAAATCTGGAATCTACCCAAATGTCCATCAATAACAAATGGATAAATAAATTGTAGAATATTAACATAACAGAATACTCTAATGAAAATGAATGATTTATGATCTCATACAACAATTTGGATGAATCTTGCAAATATAATGCTAAATGAAGGCAGACACATACAAACTATATAATATATACTATATGTTATACAGTATGCTATAACAGGACTAGTGAATGGCTCCATTTATAAAAATTGAAAAGCAAGCAAAACTAATCTATGGTCTTAGATGTCAGAAATAATAGTTAAACTTGGGGGGGGGTCTTAACTTCAAGTTGGCACAAGGGGAGCTTCTAGGGTGCTGGAAATGTTCTGACTAGAATTACAGATTCTTTATTAACTACAAAGAGAAAAACAGTGTGTTGACAATGGAAAGTCTGGTGGAAATCCATCTTAACGAAATGAGCAAACATGGTATCACCAATTACGGAACAAACTGGCAATGTGCTTCCTAATGTGAATTCACTAAGAATGATCCTATAAGAAAGATATAATATTTTTGACACAAAATGTTCAAACTGAAATTAAACTTGAGGAAACAATCAGACAAACACAAATTAAGAAACATTCTGCAAGATAATTGGCCTTGTCTCTTTAAAAACGTCAATGTCATTAAAGACAAAACAACAACAACAACAGTCTAAGGAAGTGTTCTAAGGGGTCAGCAAATTATGGCCTGTGCAGGTCAAATCTACCCAACAGTCTGCTTTGGTATGAGCCTGTGAGCTATGAATGGTTTTTACATTTCTAAAGGGTTCTAAAAAAAGAATATTCGATGGAGACCTACATAGCCCACAAAACCTAAAATATTTACTATCTGGCCCTTTAGAAAACCTAAAATATTTACTATCTGGTCCTTTACAGAAAAGTTTGCTGACCCCAGGGAAGATTTAAAAATCTCTAACTGGATCCTGGATTAGTGGGGAAAAAAAAAATCTCTAAAGAAACTTAATAGGACAAGTAGAGAAATATAAATATTGACTGTATATTAGATAACATATTATATCAATTTTAAAATTCTTGGTTGTGATAACTGTAGAGATTATGTTGGAGAATGTTCTTATTCTTAGGAGATACAGGAAGTATTTGAAGGTGAAGTGTCAGAATGAATGCAACTTACTCTCAATGGTTCAGAAAAAAAATCCAGTAATTATATTTATATATTCTTACAAGTGTTATATATTTTTATATTTAATATATATATAAAGAGAGGGAGAATGATAAAGCTAATGTGGCAAATGTTACTTGGTGAATTGCAACATTTTTGCGTTTTCTCTAGAGGTCTGAAATTTTTCAAAATCAAATGTGTATATGTGGAGGGGGGCCCTTCTGGATCATTGTGCTAAAAGAAAAGTACTATATAATCCTCAAGAATTCTTTGCCAAAGCTTATAACAGAAATCATTACTCCGTATTGATTAAACCAAATTATCAAATACCAACATCAAAGTCTTACCCAACACCAGCTTTCTAACCACAAGCTATTATACTAATAGATATACTATACTATAGCGTACTGTACTATACTATATTCTACCATTCAGATATTACACTATCTGAACTTGAATTGGTAGATTAAAAGCTTCCAGTGTACAGCTGTTTAAAAAAGTTATAATTCTTCAGAGTAGCACTAAAAACTGAACGAGGGAGTTTTCCAAATGAAGACTCTTCCACATATCTTCTCATATCCATTGAGCAATTTTGCTAAGGAGTTGGTTCAACAGAAACTAAAAGAAGGTAATCAGGCCTAATCAAGAGGAGGAAATAGACATTTATTAATATATACCACTGTGGACCTTCAACTCATCAGATCTCTACTCTAGTCTTCAGGCACACTCTCTCAAGATGCCCTCAAGATGACAGAATAACAATGCTTCTTAGACTTTTCCACTGATGGAACAATAATAGCAGAAGGTAAGAAACAGCAGCCTGTCCTCTATTCCCCACCTCCATATACAGGGATACTTGAAAGTTAACCTAAATCAGCCCATCACCAGCACTCAAGTTCTTTGGAGATTCATGGTTTATGTTTTTAAAATTCATAGGAATTTTGCATTAAGTTACATGATATAACATTTTCATTTTTAAAGATGGTTGTTTTTGTGTGTGTGTGAGGAAGATCAGCCCTGAGCTAACATCCATGCTAATCCTCCTCTTTTTTTTTGCTGAGGAAGACCAGCTCTGCGCTAACATCTATTGCCAATCCTCCTCTTTTTTTCCCCCCAAAGCCCCAGTAGATAGTTGTATGTCATAGTTGCACATCCTTCTAGTTGCTGTATGTGGGACGCGGCCTCAGCGTGGCTGGAGAAGCGGTGCGTTGGTGCACACCCAGGATCCAAACCCAGGCCACCAGTAGCGGAGTGCATGCACTTAACCGCTAAGCCACAGGGCCGGCCCCTAAAGATGGTTTTTAAGATGGCAAAGTAAATATATAACATCTACCCTTCCCGCCCATCTCAAAGCCCTTAAAATGATAAAAATAAATATATAATTTAAAAAATATGTAACAGAACAAATCCACACACACATATGTAAAATCATGAGACAAGACTGACCAGATTTCTGACAAGCTTACCAGATTTCTGCTAGTGTTTTTTTTAAAGGTTTTGTGTGTGTATGTGAGGAAGATTAGCCCTGAGCTAACATCTGTACCCATCTTCCTCTTTTATATGTGGGACGCCTGCCACAGCATGGCTTGATGAGCGGTGCATAGGTCCACGCCCGGGATCCAAACCTGTGAACCCTGGGCCAGGCCGCAGAAGCAGAGCATGCGAACTTAACCACTACGCCACCGGGCTGGCCCCCTGATAGTGTTTCTAACTGTAGGAGACAAAGAAGGGAAATCTGGAGCAGAGTAAGGAGAGTATAAGGAAATGAGAATTTTTTTTGGTGTAATTCTACATTGTTTTAATCTTCTTTTCAAATGCATTCATATATCACACTTAAATAATACTTTTATAAAATGTTTAAAATTAGTGACCTCAAGTAAAGTTTATGCATCCAGAAAAAACTACTAAATTCATCCTGAGGCTTCATGTCCCTTCAGCATGCTATCATGTACATAACCTAGTTTAAGAAGGACAATCAGAAACAAAAAAGATTTAGAATTACATAACTCATCATCTAATTTTAAATATTATATTTTATGATTATATCAAGAATATGTTTGATTTATTTGAAAAAGTTCATAACATTACATTCAGGAGATTAATGCACAAGTTATGAAGGTCACTGAAGCATGCCTCTTCTAAAACAAATTAATAATTATTCTACAAAAAACACTTTAGACATCACAATCTCTAACCTGTAAATTTGACTTTTAAATCCGCTTTCACCATCTCAGTAATACTTTTTGCCACATCACTTTCAGAAGGTATGTAAACCAATTCATATGTATGTTTCGTATCAGTGAAGAAAGCAGGCAGTTTACTCAAGGGAAGAGCCTTGTAAATAAAAGCTTCTCGAAGATTCTTTTCCGAATCTCTGCGATGAAACAAAATCAATGCAGAGAACAGCAGTGTCATGAAGATTTCCACAACTAAAGAAAATATCTTACGCTTCTGCAAGAGAAACAAAAAGATTGTGTTAATTAACCTAAGAGTATATGTATGTGTACCTGTACGTATTTATACATGTATACATGTATATAATATAAAATTATATTATTCAGCTTCATTCTACAATGTGAATGGTTCTCTGGATTGCCTTTTTCACCCTTTTCCACATTTTATTATTCATTCTATTGATTTACCCCATGGGTATTCTTCAGATTTAGAAGTGCTACCCTCAGCCAAGGGGACGGGGCGGAAACCCATAAACTAAAATGAAGTGAAGGAGCTATTAAAATTTTTCCCTTTCAGGTTCATTAGCCTTTACAACTATTTCCCACAGATACCTCCACTTACCTTTAATATGAAATTTTTCCAGAGGAGGACTGCAAACTGGTTGAGCCACAACAAATCCATTTTACCACAAAGAATGGAAGTTCAACTCTCAGAAGGAAGTAAAGATTTTAAAATTTTAGGTTACCTGCCAAAATGTGAAATTTAGTTAAGTAAAAGTTCATTGTTCTCCTCTTCTTTGTTCAATTTTGAAAGATAACTACAAAAAATAACTTGAAATAAGTACTAGTCTGCTCCCATTTTTATATAAATTCATATCTAATGATCTTCTAGTACGTATAAAAACATTAGGCCATAGAGATGCAAAGATCAATAAGTTGAAGCCCCAGGTTCACAAAGATGTAAAGTGTAAATGCAGAATATCAATTATTATTTTGATAGGCTGTGAGAGAAATTCTCACAAAATATAATGCTGAATACTTATTATTTATTTAAAACCTACTCTGTGCCATGTTCTATGCTAAGCATTAGGTGGATTCAAAACAGTCATGATCCTTTCCTCATGGTATGGATAGTAGGGCATAGTAATTGAGAACTCAAGATCTGAAGTTAAGCTACCTGAGTTCAAATTCTAACTCTCTCACGAGCTGTATAATTTTGAGAAAGACAATTAACCTATGGCTGCTCATCATCCATAAAATCAGAAAAATTATAGTACTTACCTTATAAGGTTTTTACCTTGGGGTATTTGCTACTATGGAGAGGGTGGCTATGCACTTTTTTTTAATTGTGATAAAATATACCTAACATAAAATTTGCCATTTTAACCATTTTTAAGTGTACAGTTCAGTGGCACCAATCACATTCACACTGTTGTGCAACTATCACCTCCATCCATCTCTAGAATGTTTTCATCTTCCCAGACTAAAACTCTGTACCCATTAGACAATAACTCCCTATTCCCTTGTCCTCTCAGTTACTGGCAACCACCATTCTACCTTCTTTATCTGTGACTGACTATGCTAGGTACCTCACATAAGTGGAATCACTTATTGGTGATGGTATTTCTCCTTTTGTGACTGGCTTATTACACTTAGCATAAAATGTCTTCAAGGTTCATCTATATTGCAGTGTGCCAGAATTTTCTTCCTATGCACCACTTTTAACAGCCTCATAGACATGTCAAAGTCAGAATCGGACTTCAGGACACATCATGGGGGAGAAGGAGTTGCTGTGTATTGCATTAGTACTAAAAGGTGTTGCATCCTTCAAGGGTGTGAACCAGAAAGAGTAACCAGAAAATACAGCAAAGAAGAACACTAGAATTGAACTAATTCTGAACTTTCACTGGCAGGCAACCAAGGAAGTGAGTGATTTCTGGCCAGAAGACAAAAAAGAAGAGGACCTCAGAGAAACTGTAGGTACTGAGAAGACAGAGGAGCAGCAGGAGCCCAGCCTTGATCTGAGCATAAGTGGATCTCATCCTAGTTAGCATGCCAATCACTTTTTGTGTGTGTGTGTGAGGAAGATCAACCCTGAGCTAACATCCATGCTAATCCTCCTCTTTTTTTTGCTGAGGAAGACTGGCTCTGAGCTAACATCTATTGCCAATCCTCCTCTTTTTTTTCCCCAAAGCCCCAGTAGGTAGTTGTATGTCTTAGTTGCACATCCTTCTAGTTGCTGTATGTGGGATGCAGCCTCAGCATGGCCAGAGAAGCAGTGCGTCGGTGTGCGCCCGGGATCCGAACCCAGGCAGCCAGTAGCGGAGAGTGCGCACTTAACCGCTAAGCCATGGGGCCAGCCCCCAATCACTTTGATTACTGAGCTGACAGACTCTGCCCAGGTCCCAGAAGGATCCAGATAGAACAGCAAAGTCTTTAAAAACTGAATTGACACTGCAACTACAGCCCACAGAGGTGGGTTGGAACTTGTGGCTTAAACCTAACCAAGTAGGGTTACCAGATAAAATACAAGATGCCCAGTTAAACTTGAATTTCAGATAAATAACAAATATTTTTTTTGTTTGGTACATACTTACACTAAAGTATTATTCATACTTTATCTGAAATTCAAATTTAATTGGGTGCTCTGCTTGCTAAATCTGGCAACCTTATAACCAGGTCAGTTGCCTGCTAAACAAAAGTATCGCCATTCTCCATAGGATTTTAAACAGAACCTAGATTCCCATAGCTTAACACACAAAATGTCCAGAATACAATCCAAAACTATTCAGCATACAAGAAACCACAAAAATCTCAGCTTATATAGGAAAAGATAATAAACAGATACTAACGATGATATGGTACAGATACTGGAATTATTTGAAAAAGACTTCAAAGCAGCTAGTATTAAAATGCTCAAAGAGCAATTGCAGTCTTGAAACAAATTTAAAATACAAAGTATCAGCAAAGAAATAGAAGATATAAAGAAAAAACAAAGGCAAATTTAAAACATTCACTGGATGGACTCAATAGCAGAATGAAGATGACAGAAGAAAGAGTCAGTGAACTTGAAGATAGATCAATAGAAATTATCCAATATGAACAAAACGGGAGTGAGGGAGATTGAAAAAAAATGAACATAGCCTCAGGAATATGTAGAATAACAAAAATAAAGTCTAACATACAACTCATCAAAATCCCAGAAGACAAGAGAAAATGTGATGCTGAAAAAATATTTAAAAAAATAATAGTTGAAAACTTCCAAATGCGGCAAAAGACACAAATATACAGATACAAGAAGTTGAGCAAACCCCAAACAACATAAACCAAAGAAATTTATGTCTAGACACATCATAATCAAACTGATAAAAACTAAGACAAATAAAAATTCTTTAAAAAAAAAAAAAAAGCCAGAGGGAAACAACACATTACCTACAAGGAGACAAAGTTTTGAAAAACAGCAGACTGCCATCAAAAACTGGGGTGGCCAGAAGGAAGTGACTAACATTTTTAAAGTGCTGAAAGAAGAAATGTTAACCTGGAATTGGATACTCAGCAAAGAAATTCTTCAGAAATGCAAGTCTGAAAGACATTCACAGCTGAAGGAAAACTAAGACACTCTATTGACAGTTGGTCTAATCTAAATGAATTATTAGAGAGAGCTCTTCAGAGAGAAGGAAAATGATAACAGAAGGTAATTTGGAACATAAGAAATGAAGAAAGAGCAACAGAAGTGGTAAAAATTTGAACAAATAAAACAGATTGTTCTTCTCTGCCTGAGTTCTTTAGAATATTTCAGTGGTTAAAAAGAAAGAATATAATATGGACTGATGAAGTTTTCAATAAATGAAGATGTTATATATGAGACAAACACAGTATAAAGGGGGAAGAGTAAGAAGACCTATATGGTCATAAAATTTCTACATTCCAATCGAAGTAATAAAATATTGATTCTAAATAGACTACAAGTTAAGACTGTATTTTATAATCCCTAGTGCAACAACTAAAAAATTATATAAAATTACAATACATAAATTGTAATAGAAAGAAAACTTGACAATAAATTAAACCCACATGAAGAAATAAAGAACACCAATGAAGATTACAATGTAAATATAACATGAGTATTATTGGTCCATAACTCATTTTTCCTATATGATTTAAAAGACAACTGCATAAAAAAATTATAAATCCATGTTGATTTTGCAAACAATGTATAAAGATGAAATGGTGACAATAAGAAAATAAAGGATGGAGCAGAGGTAAATAGAAGCAACATTTTTGTATACTATCAAAATTAAGTTGGTATTAATTCAAAATAAATTAAGATGTTAATTATAATCCACAGGTCAATCTCTAGGAAAATTACTTTAAAAAAATATATTCTACAAGAAACAAGAAAGGAATCAAAGTGGTACACTAGAAAATATCTTACCAAAAAGAAGACAGTAATGGAGTCATCGAGTAACAAAAATGATTTAAGACATAGAGAAAACAAAAAGCAAAATGGCAGAAGTAAGCCTTTCCTTATCATTAATTACATTAAATGTAAGGAGATTAAACTCTATTTAAAAGGCAGAGACTTGCAGAAAGAGTATAAAAACTTGGTTCAACTATATGCTGTCTACAAGAGACTCACTTTAGATCCAAAGACACAAATAAGTTGAAAGTTAAAAGACACAAAAAGATATTCCATGCAAACAGTAACCAAAAGAAGGGCTGATTGAATGACTGTGCTACTATCAGACAAAATAGACTTTAAAATAAAAAGTGTTAAAAGAGACAAAGAAAGACATTATATAGTGATAAAAAGGTCAACTCATTAAGAAGATGTAACAATTACAAACATGTATGAACCTAACAACAGAGCCCCCAAAATATATAAAGCAAAGAGCCCCAAAATATATAAGCAAAAACCAACAGAGTTAAATGAGAAATACAAAGTTCAAAAAATAATAGTTGGAGACTTCAATACCTGACTTCCAATAATGAATAGGACAACTAGGTGGAAGATCAACAAGGAAAGAGAAGTTCTGAACAACACTATAAATCACCAGGACTTAACATATATAGAACAATCTACCCAACAACAAACAGAATACACATTTTTTCTCAAGTGCATAAGGAGCATTCTCCAGGATAGACCATTAGGCCACAAAACAAGTCTCAAGTTTAAAAAGATTGAAATCATAGAATTATCTTCTATGACCACAATGAAGTTAAATTAGAAATCAGTAATTGAAGGAAATCTGGAAAATTCACAAATATGTGGAAATTAAGCAACACACTAATAAACAACCAACAGGTGAGAGAAGAAATCACAAAGGAAATTAGAAAATACCTTGAGATGAATGAAAAAAATACAACACACTAAAACTTATGAGATGCAGTGAAAGCAGTTTAGCTGTAAACTCCCACATTTCAAATCAATAACAATTTTAAATCAATAACCTAGCCTTCCACCTAAAGGAACTAGAAAAAGAAGAGCAAAAATAAAACCACAGAGAGAAGAAGGCAGGAAATAATAAATATTAAAGCAGAGATAAGTGAAATAGAGACTAAAAAGACAATAGAATCAAGGAAACCAAATGTTGGTTCCTTAAAAAGATCAACAAAAGTGACAAACCTTCATCTTGACTGACCAAAAGAAGAGAGAAGACTCAAATTACTAAAATCAGGAATGAAAGAAAGGACATTACTACCAATCTT